ACTTTTCCCAACTCTCCTCAGACGCCTCACTCAGGTACTGCTTGAAGACTTCTCTACGTTCCCCTATTTCTTCTTTCAGCTCGTCATCCCACCACTTAACCGATACCCCACATCGTACCACCTTCCTTCCCACTACTTTGTTGTGGGGGGGGGGTATGTATTAGAAGCACCACACAAAGTTTTTCACGATATCACACAGCAGTCCATGAGATGCAAGGCACCAGAGCAGCGAAGAAGTGGCCCACACGTAGCAGTGCGTTATCCATCATTTCTGGGCGTTACATATGCCTCCTGGGCGTCTCCTTCCACGTCGATTACTTGTGGTATCAACCTTGGCGGCGGCCTACAACAATCGCGTTCGAAACGTCCCGTGTTATTGGTATCGACGTTGGAACATCAAACATCAAGATCTTCAGCCTGCTTGTGAGAAATTTTTAGGAATAGAAAATACCATGAAATAAATTTCCGGGCATTCCATGGAATAAAAGTCCGGCACTCCATAGAATGTAAGTCCTGGCTTTTCTTCCGACCTCAACGCTTTGGTCTTCGATCAGTCAGAGCTCGGTCTTGATTATTTTGTTTTGTCACTGGGAACGTCGCGAATACACGGCCTAGCGCGCGCAAGTGTGACGTGTGTTGCCAACCAGCCGTTTGTTTTTTTAGCGGCAATTGACAAAATGAGGTACACCCCGCGTGTTTGGGCACAAAATGGGGTATACTTTTTTCGGTGTGAGGCGCAACGCCTGACGCCGGGTACACGCCTTTAAACCAACTTCTAGCGCTTCAGCCCCATGCGCCGGGTCCTTAAAAAGGACGCCCATTTTTTTTTGCTTTTTTCCCACAGGAACAGGGTTAACTAGGGCCTGGAAGACGGGAGCTTTTTGGAGGACTCCATTTTGTTCACGAAACCGCGGGGTGCACCCCCTTGTCTGCTAAAAGTTTCGCTGACACAGCAGTACCCGATGTTGTTCACACACGTACCCCATAACGCTCAAGGCATAGACTACCCCTTTTTGTTCGGTGGTGACGCTCCTCCTGCGGACTGTCAAAATGGCAAGCAACAACCACCCGTGGACCACCATACATCTCTGTACCTTCTGTCTCCTTGCCTCGCCGCAGACCACAACAAAGCCTGTATGTTGCACCGCAGACAACTATACTGCACCCCAAAATCTTGTGTCTTCTTGCCGCGCCTCAGACCGCGAGACCCGCGTGTTGCATCGAAGACCACCACAGCCCAACATTTTTTGTCGCCAAAACTACGGTGGTCCGCGGTTGATTGCTGGTTGCCATTTGGACAGTCCGCAGGAGTGTCACCACCGAACCACATGGGGGTATGCCTTGAACGTTATGGGGTACGTTTGTCAACAAAATGGGGTACTAAACTTTTAGCAGACCGGGGGGTGTACCCCGCGGTATCGTGAACAAATGGAGTCCTCCAACAAGCTCCCCTCTTTCAGGCCCTAGTAAACCCTGTTCCTGGACGTGAGAAGCAAAAAAAAATTGATTGTCCTTTCTAAGGACCTGGAGCATGGGGCTGAAGCGCTAGGAGGCGCCTACATCTGTACCCGGCGTCAGGC